CTATTCTTGCAGGAGAACTTTCCTGGGTATCGAAGACTTAGGTGGAAGAATCCTAGTCTCTTGCTGTCTTCACATTTGGGATTAATTGTTACATGACTGGTTCAGGCTGAACATGTTTCACAATTGTGAAAATCCCATCTAGACATTAATATGATGTTATAGATAATTATGTGGAGGCCCAGAATGGATTTTCACTTAATGGAGGTCATAGAATGGATCACTGAGAGCTGGCTTTCCAAACCTAGAATGTTGTCATGCTTAAATGGCATAGGTTTTACTAGCGTCTTTATCCAGACTCCAGGTACTGGTGTTTTTCAAATATGTTTTTAATTCCAAGAATCATGTCAGAGAAGCTTTCTCTTGCAGCAGATGGGAACAAAAACAGACACTCACAGACAGATAATATGTAGAGAATGAGGGACCTTGTGCCTAAGAAGGATGTTTCCCTCAAATCCCTCCCCTCATGGCTCAGAAACCACTATGGAAGAGGAAGCAAAAAGAGTGTAAGAGCCAGAGGGGATGTCGAACAATGAGAAAGCCAAGTCTTGTAAACACAACAGGACTGGTGCATGTATGAACTCACACAGACAGAGACAGCATGCACAGGATTTACACCGGTCTGTACCGGATGTGGTTCTAGAGCTGAAAGAGATGGATACATACCCACATTCCTAACCCATAAGCTACCTGCAATTGGTAACAACTTGCAAGTGAAAATTTAGTTTTCTACAAAGTGGTATCATTGGGTAGGTCACATGGCCAGCAGAAGATAGCCAACAGAAAATAAATGCAATGACATATTTGGAGGGTCATTTTCTCATAAAGTCTTGTCTGGGCCTTTGCTTTTTCTTTTTAAGTTTAATTTATTTCTAAATTTAGTTTTTATTTTTATATTTTCTCTCTCCTTTACAGGTCCTTCGCATATATATTATGGGTTCTGAATAGTGTTTTTATATGATTTATATAGTGTTTTATAGGATTTTATGAGTGTGTGAGCAAGTGGGTTTCAGTGTTCATATCTGTTTCTTGTGTCTTCTCTTAGGTTCTTTGGCTTCTGTTTGCTTTGTTTTATTTGTCCTATTCTGGTGTGTGTGTGTGTGTGTGTGTGTGTGTGTGTGTGTGTGTTAGTTTAATTTTATTATTATCCCTTAGAAGCCTATTTGTTTTTTGAGGTAGATCTGGATGGGGGGGGGTGGCAGGAACTGGGAGGAAATGGGGGAAACCATTATCAGGCTACATTATTTGAAAAAATGCATCTCCTTGCTTTCTTTCAAATTCATGACCTCTAATTTTTAATTCTCTCTCTCTCTCTCTCTCTCTCTCTCTCTCTCTCTCTCTCACACACACACACACACACACACACAAATGCAACCTGCTTAGTCTGTATAATGTTACTTGCATGTGTGTGGTTTCAGGGCTGACTGCTTAGTATTGGCTATCCAACTGATGTGCTCTTCCTTGGGAAAGACTATTTCTTCCACTCTTACAATTCTTTTATTATTATTATTATCCATTCTTTAAAAAGACTTGTAGTTTCCTTTTTAACAGTTGAGATGCCATGAGATTTCTCCCTTTCACATTAGGATGTCTACTGGTGTCATCCTTGTTCAAATACTGCATAAAGCAGTTATATTAATGAACCTTACCACTGTATCTTTTCTACATATCTAGGAGTCAAAATTTCCCAGTAAACCCCCTTTTACTCTGGCTCTTATGATCTTTATACCCCCTCCCATCCACTGTGATTCCTGAGCAGGGGTTATGTTGTAGGTGTATCCACTGGGGCTGGTCATCATATGGTCACTTAGTCTCTGCATTTTGATTGGCTGTTGTTTGCTGTAATGGTCTCAGTCTGTTGTTAGAAGATTTCTTCTTGATGGAGAATGTGACCTATACTCATCTGTAAGCACAGAGATAACTATTTAGAATGTAGTTAGGGATTATGCTTGTTTAGAAAGATGGAAGGTGTAGGTTCTCCTTTAAACTTCATGAGTTCATTGAGCCCAGGGAGTTGGCTAGGTTTTTTGTATTAGACTTGATTTCTCTCTTAAGTTCAGTTAGAGAACTGTTGTTTATCAGGAAGCTATGCATGCTGCTACTATGCACTCAATTCAACTTTTAGCAAGTTATTTTTTAATTTATTTTTGTTTTATTATTATTATTATTCATTCTTAAAAAAGACTTATTTTACATACCAATCCCAGTTTCCTCTCCCTCCCATCCTTCCATCTTCCCATTCCCCCGTCTTCAACTCTAGCAACTTATTTTTAATTGAAGCTGTTAAAATGTGAAGTATTGCTACTACAAAAGAAAACCACTTATTATTCTGACCAATTTTTCATTTGTTTTTAGACTTGCCAAGAATATATACTTTTATTTTATGTATTATTGTATGTTATTTCACATTTTATCATTCATATTTGAAATTCTATTATTTTAATGATTTCATAAAGAAATGAATCATTAATAATTTTAATGAATTAAATCAATGTTAAGTGCAATAATGCAAATCTTTAACTCAGTAAATAGTAATGCACTAGTACTAAAAAAAGAACAGCAGTGATAATGAGTAATACAAGCAGGTGGCTTTTTATATTGAATATAGAAATTTGAATAAATTAATAAATAAGATATTTTCTGAAGAATAATTAGTAACCTGAGCAATAAACACTGTGTGAAATAACTACATGAGCTAGAGCCAGAATTGTGTTAATGTTTTGCTATTTCTAAACATTTTACACAATCTATCTCTCTTTTCAGAACAACCTACGGAAATAGGTAAACAAATTTTCTGGATCATTTTCAGAAAACTGAGTCTTGGAGTTTAATATTCTTCATGGTCCCCCTTTGTCTACAAATTGTGAGAACTTTAAAAACAAGTGGCTATGATGAGCCAGATGGGTGAGCAGGTGTGGTAGTCCTGTGGGCAACCTTGTCCAAGGCTGCTCTTAGTTTTGATTTTTAAACCATTAACTTTAAGAACTGTAATTACATTTCAAAATACAAAATGGAAATAAAATAATAAGAAGGATTAAAATGCCAGTGTACTTTAATATAGTTCCATAGTTCACTTTGTCTCACAACTAATGAGAATAAACAAATGACAAACTACTCTGTGGGTTAATATTAATCCTGTAACCTTACCCAGTAAAAATGTTTAATAGGTTATATAAATCAAATCCAGTAAGAAAACAACTTATTTAATCTGCCTTTGAGGCAATGTACATGGTAGCAATGACTGTAGCAGCAATGCAGAAAAAAGAGAATATTGTAAACAAATATTGATTACTAATTATTCAGATATTAATAAATGATATGCAAAAGGGCCCTGAATTATATGTTTGACTAGAAAATATATACAAAAGCAGCTACTACAAATCGAATAGCTAATGTATATTTTCAGTTTAGTAACATATCTTGCTGCAACTAATTTAAGAAGTTTCTATTTTAAAACATTTTTGAAGCCCAGTTGAACACAGTTTGTTGGTAACATTAATTTACTGAATTAGAGACCACAAGTATTGTTTCTGAGTTAAGATGAGAACCACATGCCTAGTCACACTTAAGTTGAATTCACGACTATTTAGTCATGCATTATATTTGGAATTTAGCCAGAATTGTCACTCTTAAATAAACATTCATCCCTTATCCCTATAACCTGAGAGTATGCTATATGGTAGATGAACTTTGCAGCTGGAATTAAGATGCTGCTTATCTTAAATTAAAATAATTATTTTCTTTCATCCAGTTCAGTTTGGTGAAATCTAATCACACGAACCTACAGAACAATGAGCTTTCTCATTGAAGACGAAATTTTATGATTGGGGGTGTGGACAGTATTGTGGGCTCACCCATACAGGAAAATCTGAGATATTCAATATATGAGAGATTGTTAATTCACCATTGATGTGGAAGGCTACATAGAAAGCGTGAAAGGAATAAGGTGGTAAATATTAATTCTTAGACTTTCCTTCTCTCCACAAACACAGTTGCTAAGGATAAATTTCCTTTGGCAGAAATTAAAATACTTCTTAAGAGGCTCCTGCTTGCCAGTTGAGTGCAAAAACGTAAGTATCAAAGTCAGCAAGGGAATTTCAGACACTTTAACACAATTCCCATCCCTAGAATAGAACCATGTGATCAAAGTGAATCTTTTCGGGCTGTAGATTCTCCTAGGAAGTACTCATGGTATATTATACTTCCAATAACCAACTTTCATGGAGGTAGACAGAGTGCTAGCTTCTATTTTTTCACAGCACTGCTGGGCCATAGAGTTTTCTGCTGTCTGAGGCCCAGTGAGAATAAGGAGAGTGATTTAGATTCATGATTCCTATGATCCTTTCATTCACTTTAAACACGGCAAATAGATACAATGTCAATTTTGTAGATTCTCTCTTATGAAGAAAGGAAGCATCCAATGTCCCAAGTTTTCTAGAGGATGGCTGAGGGAGTGAAATGTGTCTTGCTAAGAAGGTTCTAGAATGTCACATATCCTAAGTGATGCTAGTAGCAAAGAGAGCCACTTAGACCAGTCTTGTAGACTGAACAACTCTTGGATTCTCAGACTTTCCACTGGTAGACAGACATTGTTGGACTAGCTTTACCACAGTCTTTAAGACACCTTTAAAATCCCCTTTGTAGATACATATCTTTCTATCAATTCTATTTCTCTAGAGAATCCTGAGTAACACAGAGCCCAAACTACACACACACACACACACACACACACACACACACACACACACTCACACTGAAAATGGTAAACTTTGTAATATTGATCTTGGCATTAATTTCATGACATAATATCAAAACCAAATACAACTGGAACAAAGCAGAGATGTCGTACTGGGACAAGTTAAAATTCTGAATAGTAAAAGAAAAAATAAACTTAATAAAAATGCAACATATTTAAATTTTATGAGGAATTTTTCAAAGGGAAAAGTAAAGCACAGTTTAAAAATAATTGAACATGCTCTGGGTGCCAGGGTCTGTACTGAAAGATGGCCGAGGTTGGGTCCAAGTCAGTATTGTTTGTGTGTCTCGGTAACATTTGCCGGTCACTCATTGCAGAAGCTGTTTTCAGAAAACTGGTTACTGATGAAAATGTTTCCGATAATTGGGCCATTGAAAGCAGCGCTGATTCCGACTGGAACGTGGGCCGGCCCCCAGACCGAAGAGCTGTCAGCTGCCTAAGAAATCATGACATTAGCACAGCCCATAAGGCAAGACAGATTACAAGAGAAGACTTTGCTACATTCGATTATATACTGTGTATGGATGAAAGCAATCTGAGAGATTTGAATAGAAAAAGTAATCAAGTTAAAAACTGCAAAGCTAAAATTGAGCTACTTGGGAGCTATGATCCACAGAAACAACTCATTATTGAAGATCCCTACTATGGCAATGATTCTGACTTCGAAGTAGTGTACCAGCAACACCCCAGGTGCTGCAAGGCCTTCCTGGAGAAGATACACTAGGTGGTCCTGCCCACTACCATTGAGCAACTCACAGAGCCATGCCCAAGGGTGATGGCAGTCCTTAGCCCCATGTCCCACCTATCTTTTCAGCTGACTTACTGTCTACTTGTAAAATAACTGTAGGTGGATATTAGGTATATGTTCAGAAGGAACATATATCTAATATCTGAGTAAGACAGTTTGAGGTGAAGATAAGCACTCTTAGACTAGTTGAACCTCTCACCTTGCCCTAATTACAAAATAGTGAAACAAGCAAATATGGAACAAAATAGAACACAAGAAGTAAAAATGACCTACAAGGTCCAGGTCAGCCTCTGACCCCAGCTAGCCTGTGCGGTCTGGTCCGACTAGAGTGTGTGCATGGCCAGCACCCAGGGGTGCCATTTGCTTGCCTTGTACCCTGTTCCAGACTTTTCAGACAAGAACTCCATCCGTATCAACCTTCCATTTGACATTGGAAGAGTTTAAACTCAGACACACTGAGGGCATTTAAATATTCGGAAGAGAGGAAGCTGGATGTGATAATGCAGGCCTGCAATTCCAGCAGGCCATCCTGGGCTATACAGTGACAATGGGAGCAACAGACTGATAAAATTAGCATTTTTATTCTTGGTTTTTGTCTAGTGTTTTTGAGCTTTGTTCCTATTTGAGCCACTTTACCTCTTAAAAAGAAAAAGGTGTGCTTAAACAGTGGAATGTTTGTAGTGTTCTTTCATCACTTTTTAAAGTTACAGGCAAGCATATGTAATTTAAGTGCATTTTCAGAAAGTGACCTCAAATTCATGTGTCAGAAAAGAATTCGCGTTAAACTGGGACGTTAATAAGTATAATTGAAATTGAAATCTGGTGTCTGCCTGCTTTCTTATTGACAAATGAAAAAAATATATGTAAAACATTAAAAAGTAATTGAACACTTGAAGAGATACTTATCTAAGGAAGATACAAATGAGATCAATAGTATATGAAAAATGTTTTATGTCAACACACATCAGGGACACTCAGGTCAAAACCACCACGAAGCTAGATATGGTAGCTCTGCTCATGTTTCCTGACTGATGATACTCAGGCAGGAGAATTACAAATTCAAGGTCATATGAGCCACCTAGTAAGATTCAGGACAACTAGGGCTATATAATGAGGCCTTGTCTTAAAAATAAATGAAGCAAACTAAGCCAAAGAACCATCAACTTTCACACAACACACAAAAAAATATTATCTCATATTTTTTAGGCTTCTTATTGTGGGGAACAACAAAACCCTGAGAACAGGAAGTATCGGTAAGGAGGTGGAAAATTAAAACTATATTGGTCATAAGGTAAAACAGCAATCATTGTGTAAAACAATATGGAGATATTCAATAAATTAAAAATGGGAATATTATTTGGTCAAGCAATCTCACTTCTGAATATTTCCACAGAAACAATCAAAATTAGGATCTCAAAGAAATATTTGCTTCAAATATAAACTCTAGTGCTTTTTGCAATACAGTGCAGTAACACCATAAATATCTGTCAGTAGACACATAGATGGAGAATATATGGAATATACAGAAATGAGACATTATTAATCTTTAATAAGTATGGAGGTATATCTATCCCTGGATGAATATTGAAGAGATTATGTTGGTCAGTGTGATTCAAAAAAAAGTAAATACTCCAATATTTCTCTTCAATGACTCATCTAAAACAGACTGACTTAGATTCACTAGAGGCCAAGTGCAAGGAAATAGGAAACTGACAATCAAGATTCGTAAATGGGAGAAAAACTATAATTATGCCATACTCACAAAAAGGAAATAAATAGAAAAGGCCAAGTGAAAACATAGGGATGATATTTTCATTAAAAAAGAATGATGCCAGTGAGCAAACTAAATACACTCTAAAGTTCTCAAGCACAGTCAATAATGCTTTACACATTTAAAATTTTGCAGAAAGTGTAGATATCATATCAAGCTTTTACTATGAGTAAATGAAACTTTAATAAATTTAAAGGGTATCAGGACCTGATACCCTTTGATTAATTGAGTTGTCCTGTAGGAAGTTAAGGCCTACAAGGATGAGAGAGGAGCCAACCTGGAGTCTGCCTGTCATTGTCAGAGGTCCTGATCATGCCTAACCAAGGAAGGGTAACCATATGATGCTGCCTAAGGGCTACCAACAGTTGCTATCAGAGGTCCTGGTTGTGCCTAGCCAATTTGGAGCAACCACACAATGTCAATGGATTGAAACACTTGGATGCTGGGGCGGTACATAAAGTTCCCCCCCCCCCCCCGTTGCTAAATAAATGAATCTGCTGTTAGCCTTTTCACCTGTCTCCCAGTGTCTGTACTGTTGAAGCCACCCCCTTTTATCCCCTCCCCAAAGGGAGCCAATAGGAACAGCAACAGTGTTCCATGTATTTTCCAATAAATTTTATCTGTAGCTTCTCTTACTGTTGTCTAACCACCATTCCAAGGCAGCCCTGGCTCTGTTTTTTCCTCCCAGTTTTCTTTATTTTTTAACAGAGCTCAGTGGACTCAACAAAGTTGGTTGCTGTGGAAACATAACCTTGATTTTCACAAATATTTTTCAGGAATAAATGTCACCGTTATTTTTTTCTCGGTCTTCTCCCTAAGCCTCTGTTGCTATGGCATTTCCTCCTTCATTTATTGAACAATGCTGGTCCAATGTTTTTGTGGCAAATTCCAAAGAAAGGCACAGCTCCAATATTTTAAACATAATTACAGTTATGACATATGATGACAGGGCATGAGACCACTTAGGAAACACAGACAAATGCATATTGTCCTGGTGTGGTTTATTTACCACTAAAAAGAGGGGGAAAATGTCTAAATAGTAAAGCAATCATCAGTCTTTGCAATAATGGGATCTCTCAGTCTAGAATATGAAACTTCTTTCTATTGACTGAGTTTTTCAACAATGCCTACCCATTACTCATATCTCTCTGTTTTACCACTTTCAGTAGTTGAAACTTTACATTTATTTGTACAGTGTTCACATATTCTCTCTTAACTCATCTTTCGTGATGGCAACACCTCTGAGTCTTTTTACTAAGCATTTATACCAATGCCTATATCGTTAAAAGCATTGAGTGATTATCCGGGTTCTTGAAACACTCTCAAAACCTTTACATGCCTAAAAAAAAAAAAAAAGCAGCCTGCCTGGGCAGTCTATGGGACATCTAACAGTGGAGCCAGTGTTTCCTCCTAGTGCACAAATGGACTTTGGGAGCCCATTCTCTATGGAGAGATACCATTGCAGCCCAGATACACGAAAGAGGGCCTAGCCCCTTCCCCAAATGATGTGTCAAACTTTGTTAATCCCCCAAGGAAGGCCTCACTTTCCTTGGGGAGTGGGTGGAGTGTGGGTTAGGGGAGCTAGTGGGGGATATGGGAGGTTGAAGGAATGAGGGGATTGATATGTAAAATAAGATTATTTTCTAAAATAAAAATAATAATAAAACAAAACAGCAACACCACACACACCCATAGACACACACATTACACAGACCTAGACACACACACAAACACACATACATACACACACAAACATCCACATCCACATACATACACACACAAGCATACACCCCCCCACACACACACGCACACACATACATACACACACAAACATCCACTTCCACATACATACACACACAAGCATACACCCCCCCCCCCCACACACACACACACGCACGCACGCACAAGACTGGTCTCTGATTTATGATGATCTTGATCTTTCTGATCTTCCTGCTTCTACTTCCTGACTCCTGAGACTACAAGTGTCTCCATTTGCTTTATGAGATTCTGGGGACTGAACCCACAACTTTACTCACATGAGGTAAACTCTCCAGTTGAGCTATAGTCGGTCAAATATAAATCTTGACTGGAAATCTGGATTCATCTTGCTTGAAGATATTCTGATTTCAGGGTGTATCTGCCATTTTGGTTTCAATTTTCCTTGTACTTTCCTGATTTCATACATTGTTTAATAATACATTTGAGCAATCGATAGTGCTTTTCTGACAACTGACTGTTGTCCTGGGCCATGTGTGTCTTTTCGCTACTCATCCACAGTCAGGCCTGTTGCTTCAGAACATTCTTTGCTATGAAGAAAAGTTCCAAAAGTTAGTAGGCATAGTGGTTATTAGTAGAAAACTGGAAATGGTCCTCTTACTTTCAAAGACTTGTTGAGAAAACATCATATAAAAACCATTCAGCTTTCCAACTAATACATTTTCAACATTTATTTCAGAATAATAGCATTTGTTATGAAATGTAAATAAATCAAGTTAGAATAAAAATAGAAAATTACTTTCCCTTTGGTTTCTTACCATGATTTGATAGACAGAGATTCTGTTGAACATCTCCAGCCTATTTCCTGTACATAAGCTTTTGTTTTCATCTAACCCAGGCAATAGTTCAAATTTGACTACCACCTTTCCTTAGTAAAGAGACACAGGTCAATGAATCACTCATCTTTAATGTCTTCATTGATGAAATGTAGTTTCTAATGAGGCCTAATTAATAAGGTCTATGGAAGCAAGTCGTAAGTGTTTGGTTTTGTTTTCTGTATACACCATGCTTACCTGTTATAAGTATTTCATTTTTTGTATACACAATGCTTACCTAAGTGTACAAAAATATGGTGATTGATACTAGACATAAACAGCAGTATGACTAGGTCTTTAAAGCTATATTCCCTATAATGTTTACTGAAATGTATAAAATTATATGATTGAGTCTTATATCCTCTCTCATCATTCTCATATATATCAGGTTACCATCATTTTAAGTTCCTCCAAACCAAACATCCATAGCTATCTGCTGCTAATCACTGGCCATTTACACTATCTACCTCATTGAATGTATTTGTAATTCCAATTTCAGTGTTACCTTACAGAATACTCAAGCAAGTAAGGAATAGATGTGCTCACCCATAAGCTCTTGAGGCACTAATAGTTCAAAGGTTTGAATCGAAGTAACAAGTGGCTGTATGAATCTT